ATAAGAGTATCTACATTTTTCTGAAGTTTTTCAATTGCTTCCAAAGCCTGGAGATCATTAAGCTAAAATTATTATCATGAAACAATTTGGAAGACAGGGAACACAGAATATTGGCATGGAAAAGAAAGATCAACCAGTGACTAGAACTCTGAGAATCTTGTTAAGGTTTAGACTACTGTAAAATGTTGCCTTCAAAAGTACTCAAACACATATGGCAAACCCTAAACCTTCCGTATCGAGGAGTCAAACAGCGGATTTTCCCACATAACAAGAAAAGAAACATTCACCATACCGCCTGAAAATAACAACTATCTGCACCTAATTGTGTGGTATCCAGCAACTATGCGTTACTTCGATAGAAACCCTTAACATACCTTGGATCCCATTAGCATTATGCCTTAAAGTTGAAGCATCATATAGTAAAACTTCACTTACACGTTTAAGAATTCCATCTCCAAACTACCATCATGCTACCCTACTATCTTCTTTCCCAGTACTGTCTTTCTTTGCTCAGCCAACCTGTTGTCATACTCTGCATAATATTTAAACTAAGTGAATTCCACACTAACCATGCTCTCAGATCATGGATATTAAAATGCATCTAACCGCAAATATTTCTAGTTGAACCACGACCAATTCATTTCCTTTTTAATTGCTTGCTCTTTAATTTCTTACATTTCTTCTATGCCCTTAAATGTCCTACCTGTTTATTCTTGGATGTCACTTAAATGTCACAAAATAAAATTCTCCAGAAGTTCAAGAGAGCAACAATCACAATTAGCGTCTTCAAAGAAGATGAAAACGGCACCTGCCTGCAAAGATCTTTTACGTCCTTCAAAGCTGAACGGATACGTGACGACACCAACAGTCAAATAACCTGCTTCTTTTGCTATTTGAGCAACAACAGGAGCAGCACCAGATCCAGTACCTCCACCCATGCCTGCTGTTATAAACACCATATCCGAACCTTTAAGAGCATTTGCAATGTGTTCCTTTGACTCCTCTGCTGCCTGTTCACCCAACAGAGGATTGCCACCAGTACCTGCATTTCTAGAAGTGACTAATATGAACAACCCATGCTACAGAATAAATAAATGGTTAAAAGCTTATGTTAACAAAGAACACTAGCCTCAAAACATATTAGCAAACAAATGCATCCTGCTAGCTACAGCAATGTATGACTTCAAATTATCACATAAATAAAGCAAAAGACTTGCATCTTTTGAGTGACTCTGGATTAAGGAGAAAGAAATAATCTATAGCTGTCTCTGGAGTTGTGCTGAGTATCATACTATAACCGTCTTGCTATTCTTTTGCTAAGGTTTTGCCAACAAGATTTATGATATTAAAAAAAACAAATCTTATATGTTAGCTTTACAAATAGCTGCTCTGAAAGAGAGCTTCTGAAGAATAAATTTCTCTACAGATAGACGAAAAGGTGCGAACCAAGTCCACGAGTCAGAAGTTCTCCAATTTGAATTGGGTTCTCAACCGTAGACTGCAGCA